TAGAAAGATTTTTGTTTTGTTTTTTGATTTTTGACTGGGTTTATAAAGTTGTGATATATATAGTTACAGACCAGCCCAATTCCCATTGCTGAAATAAGTAAATGATCTTGGAAGAGATGTGAGTTGAAAGCAGGAGGAGACAAGACGTTATGATTTTCACAAGACTTTGGAAAGTCTTTGGAATAATTAGTTTGCTTGAGACCATAAATGAATGGTTGCTTTCATTAGAGATGAGGTATGAATGTTTTACTGTCAGTAAATTGTTATTAGGCAGGGTAATACAGAATGTTAAATTGAATTTAAAGTTCCCCAAATTAAACTGGAGAGTTGAATCAGAGTCAGTGGTTTGAAGTAGCATTCTTATTCTCATTAAAATGTGGCATATTTTCTATTCTCCCTAACTCTGAATGCAGCGTCTAAAGAGGTGGTGGTGGACCGGCTTGGTAGTGGTACACATTGAGTGAAAGACACAGGCGAGATGGAATGATGTAGTAACATTTCCAGGGTAGGTATGTGTCTTCTAGGTGTTTATTCTGTTTTCCTACCCTCCAACAACAAAAAATTCCATATAAAATGTAGCCCTCTGTGTATAGCACAGTCAATAAATAAACTCTTTCATTTTCTAGGAGTGAAGCTATGTGTGGAATATTTTGCAATTGCTGTGGTCATATGTGACTTGTGAGCCAAATGGTAATTAATGTGGAAATTATAAACATGCAGGGTCCACTAAATCATTATGATTTAACCTAATGTTTGATCCTCTTATAATGAGAGAAAGGTAGAATCTGCTCATTCTGCAGTAATTTTTTTTCCTTTTAGACTTCATCATTGCATCCTTTTCAAAGGCACAGAAAGATTGGAACCCTCCAGTTCCTACAGTTTATTTGTGTCAAATGAGTCACTGAAGAGAAATGCCTGTTATTTTTGCAGGGAATACAGAATACCTTGTAATCCCCTCTAGCCTAGCTGAGCAGGCTGGGTAGGAGTGAGAGTCAGGCCAGATGAAATAGATAAAGGGAGGAGAGGAGAGAAATGGTAAGTCTGTCATCACCAACTTCTTAGCTGTGGATGGGTGATGCAGAAAGCATCTGACGGCAACCACTAAGTACATTCTGCTTCTAATTATTCCTTCTTTATTTGGAAAGGGTCACACAAATAACAGCATTGATATTGGTTAGTTAGCAATCGTGGATTCTTCCAGCAGAGGGACATGGCGAAGGCTGGAGGATGATGAGGCTGAGCCATTTGATCACATCTCACTATAGCACAGCGGTTAAGACGTACAGACCTGAGTTCAAGTCCCTGCTCCTCTGCCTACAAGCTGTGATGTTGAGGAAAATTACTTTCTCTCTAGGCTTAGTTTTCTCATCTGTTAAAGAGGGGCTAATAATACCCTTCTTTTAAGCACTTGCCTTCTAAGGTTGTTATAAGGAAAAATTGAGAGATGTGAGTAAAAATGCTTATTGTAGTCCCTGGGACAGAATCAATGTTTGAAAAATATTAGCCCCATTTGGGGTATTGGTGGCAGAGGTTGGGGCAGCATCAGCAGTGATTAAGATGAGCATAAAGCCAGGTGATAACTTCCCAAATTCTAGCTATCCTCTCCCATTTAGCTTCTTGTTTGGTGTGGGGAGTCCACTTTCTGTGTGCTGGAGATTTCATCTCAAGTCCTTTTTGACAAATATTGGCCAAAAAAAAAAGGAGAGAAAGAAAGAAGAAAAAAAAGAATTGACAGAAAAGATGGGTAGACTGTGTTATTTCCTGCCTATTCTGATGTAGACAGAGCAGGTATTACTGGCCCATTTTAAAGACCTGGAAGACAGCTTGGTTACTGTCTAGGATCATTGGTGAGTAAGCAATAGGACCAGGACAACAAGTTGGGTCTTCTGCCTCTTCCTGGTCTAGTAAGTGTTAGATGGCAACTCCAACCTGAACGTGGATACTGCCCTGTGCAGTGGGCGTGAGATGCGAGGAGCAGTCTGCCATGATGGTCCTCCCATCACTGCAGCCTCTGTGGAGACAGGCATCACCCATTGGCTCTCTCTCTTCGTGAAGAAGATGAATTCAGGAGAATCTCACGGAAACAGAATGTGACTCAGAAAAATGATTCTTGTGACATCAGTTATAACTCTTCCCCCTTCCATACAGCTTCAGTATTTAGACTTTTTACAAAAAGCCTTTTTGTACTGCTAAACTCGTGTTTTGGATCACCCTACCATTATTTCAGGCATGGATATGGCTTTGGCATCTTCTCTGATTTCATGATTCACCCTGAGCAGTTTTAGTATTCTTGAGGGAGTTTTAGCATGCTGGCCATGGTCTCTGATTAAGACTGTTTGTGTCTAAGTCCCAGCTGCATCTCTTGTTAGTGGAGTGACCTCGGGCAATTTCTTTAACTTCTGTTTCAGTTGCCTCATCTTTAAGATGGAGATGATAATGGTACCTGCCTCAGAGGGTTATAAGAAATCAATGAGGGAATCTTTGTTCAATGCCTACAGAGAGTGAGCGCTCAGTAAATGTGAGCTATGAATAATAATGAGGTCATTCTATTTGCAGTTTATGAAGTTGAGATATATAGTGTCCATATGTAAGAGGAGTTGATATTATCTTAGTCAAGTCCATAAAATTTCATTTCCAGTCACAAAAATAATTACATGGGATCCAGTTGGAAATCATAAGCAGAAACTGGGTCTAATAGCACAGAACGTTGTGTGGTATAAAGACCATTTCTAGATTAAGCTACCCTCTAGTGTGCTTTCTGTTTAACTGTGTAGTGAACGGCAAGTTCTTTTAGTTCTTGAAATTGATGTTTCTTTCCGATGGAGTCATATAGCTGAGCTTGGTTTGGGGCCAGTTTTCTGGGCTTAAAACTGAATATCATTGGAACAAAAGTTTCAAGGGAAATGACAAATCAATACTTAACTTTTTCCTGTGCCTCTCTAGTTAAGGTCTAGAAAGGTCGTCTTCCTTATTGAATGTGACCTTTTAAGAAATTTAGTTTTCATCTTTCCCAGTGAAATCATTTCTCTAATAGAATTCGATTTGCTTCAAGTTTCTGTCTCCTCTGCTTAGTTTGAAAGATGAAGCCAGGGCCTTGTGCTTCTTTTGTTACTGATATCTCCTATTTTCACTCTCGGCACGGTCATAAATTACATTATGGTAGGCTTCATCTCCTAGGCTGCATCTTTTAACATAATCTGTGTTGTAATATGTGTTGTTTGCCTGAGAACATGCAGCATCTATGTTCCTAGGGCATGGTAGCATCCCTGGGGGCCATACCTCACTTGCAAACCACACGAGGCACAGTGGCCTACTGTAGCCATCCAAACAGCAGATCCGAATGTTGCTGGTCAGCATTGTCCTCCTTTACGTCCTGTGTGGCCTTAGGCAGCTCCTAAATTCCTCTGGCTTTAAGATTTCTCATCTTTGACACTCTAAAGTAAATTATCTCTAAAATCCCTTCTAGCTCTTTCCTTCCTCAGAGCAGTGTTCTCCAAACTCTGTTTGGTGGTAAGTTAATATTTGTGCTGGGGTTGGGTGTTCTCTGGTTGAATAAATTAAGGAAATGCCTCTTACCTTATTCTTCTCTTAAAGAGTTATAAAGCACACGTGCATATTAATGTCTCTGAGAAGTTCATGGTTAATCAAGTATTTCTCAAATATAGGTGAATACACAATTTAAAGCATTTTTTATTTATTAATTTTGCTTACCGATAGTCTCTTTCCTGGGAAAAGTTCTGAGGAGTTCTGAGGGAAAGACTTCTGCTCCAGGTTCCTAAGATCACTAAGTTACATAAGGTAAAGAACACATAGCAGTATTTCTGATTTTAAACTGATATTGTGGAAGTACCATTATCCTTTAATTAGAAAACAGTTGTATATTTTAAACGGTTTCTAAGCAGTTGGTTTCTGGGTTCTAATAAATCGCCAAATGATCTCTAGTTCAACTAACAGAAGTCAAATTTGGGGAATCATGACTAGGAAGGAACTACTTGATTGGCTAACTATTCGAAAAGTCAGTTTCTGTGTTGGATTGCCCCCCCCCCCCCAACCCCATCCCACCCTCCCACCACTGTCCTGCCTTGTATAAGGCAAGGAGCCGAAACAAGTTGCTTTTAAACTAGAATCCTGTTTCAGCCCCAGAAAATAGCAGCAGCACTACACATGGTTTCTTCTTTCCCCTTTCATGTAAAGTCAGATAGGAATCATAATCTGAGATTTCAAGGGAGTAGGAAAAACAAGCTTCCATTACATTTGGAATGAGTGCTAAAGAAAATAAAAAATGCACCTATGAAAGACTTCTATTCCATCCTTATGGGAAGGATCCTGAGACACTAACAAAAAAACATTAAGGCTAAACTATGAACTCACTGTCATGAGAATGCTAGGCATTAGGCGTAATCAGAAGATTTCAGTAAATGCGACTGGCCTTTTGGCAGCAGCTACCATATGACAGCTCTGCAAATGCCAAGCATTTTATCAATGAGTGGTCCAGTTGTGATCCTTTGTCTGGCGCCTGGTGCTTCAGCCAAGTCAGGAGGACGTTATCAGGCACAAAGTTCTAGGCAGTGGCCTGGTCTAGCGGAAGGGAGGATGGGGTGACCCAGGAGTATGGCTGTCCCCAGAGCCTTTTCAAAGCAAAACACAAAAGCCACCTAGATGGGGAAGAGTGTAAGCTGGGAATGTTCAGTTAATCAAACTTTATATTTAAACAATGCAATCATATAGTCTTTCCTTTCAATGTGTAGATTATGGGCCTTACATTAAATTAATATCTCAGAGTAGGTGCGGCAGTTATGTCTTTATTGGAGGAATTAAATGACCTACCCTCACGCTGAAAACAATTTCGCCAGTTTCCTTCTACCTCTTAGCCAATAAATGTGTCTGATACAGAGGATGGTTGTCTTAAGTGTCTTTTCCTATTTAAACTGTCTTCATAACATTCCCAATTTGCAAAAGCCCTGGTGTTCAAAAATAGCTGGGAGAAAACTTGGGCTGTGGGTGGTGGGTAATTCAACCCAGCATCAGGGCATTAGTGACTAAGGGAAAAATAGGCCTCTTTCCTGAGCCTTTCCGGATGAGGTCATTGTTTTCAGACAGTGTGTACCTAATATAAATGGGCTCAAAGTCCATGACTTGTCTCATACCAGTGTTTTGTTAGGGAACAACATCTAAACCCATGATGAACAGCCAGGCTGATAGTAAAAGGAGCCCCCCCAAGTTATAGTATTTTTGTTAAATCCTAGTATTAAAAAAAGTCATAAAAAACCCATCTGGTGAGATGATAATTCATTAAGTGAAAAGAAGAGGCAGAAGGCTTGGGAAAATCCATCCTTTTCTTTCTTTGTCTCATGTGTTTGCGTTATTGTGAAATGACAGTGACCGAAATCTGAATTCTGGATTGTGCAGAGTGGAGGAAAATTTGAAGAACATTCTGGGTGTGTTTTAATAGAGGCTTCCCAGAAAGGACAGTTTGCTGCAGATGTGGTGTCAGTGAACTGATGTTCACTGTTCATGGTGGAGACACAGTGGAGAGGAGAAGAGGATGAGGATTCTGTGTGTGAGGAAGGAGCTAGAATCATGCAGGAAACTCCTCATTCTTCCTGAGCTGGCTTGTGGCACACCCTCTGGTGTGGCACACCCCTCCCTCGAGTCCAACTCAGCCCACAAACTCCTGGGAGGAAAGCCAGGGCCCCAGCCTTTTCTTGGAGGATTGGATGCAGTCCTTCCGCGTTCCAGCTACCTGGTGAAGAAGAGCTGAGATCTCAGAGCTTTGTGAATGTTGATGATCTGGGAACCGCCTGAGCTCATGGACCCTCATCCTGTCATCGGAGACAACCAAGGTTTGACTGTCCATTCTGTAAACTTGGCATGTGTGTTGTCTGGGGTGGACCATGTGTTTACAGATGGGGAGAGGTGCAGGGACTTTTCCATTGGTTAAAATAATTTTACACCTATTATAGTATGTTAACATTCTGATCTATTTATGTGCGTAACACAGGTTTGTATAAAATGCATATGTCATATATCAACATATTTAAAGATATCATTAATATAATTGATTTTAAAGTTGATATGACCGTTTCTTAGAAGTCCAGCTAAATTAAATTAAATTACATTTAGGTAGGTTGGTCTGTTGGAGCACTTTAAAAGGAGTCCTCAATGACTGTGGGTCAACACCCGTGATCCCATTTCTGCTCATGTGCTCTCTTTTTCTTTTACCCCCCATTTCCATGACAGTACCTCTGTGTTAACATAGCTAATATGTTAACCAACATATCATTTGAGACAAATTCTTTCATCCTCCTTATGCTGTAGTTTTGTCTCCGTGGGTGGGCACGATGTTTGAGTTAGGAAATGCCATCCCTAGAAGGCTTCCCTTAGAGTTGTCTTTTATGGAAAGTTTGTTCCTGATGAGGCCGGCTTCAGGAGGGACCCAGCGCATCCTGCTCAGCATCCCCAGGGACTGACAGCCAACACCACAGCTTCAGAGGCAGCTCAACGCAATCTTGCCCAGTGCTTGGTTGAAACCAGCAAACTGTTGATTCGTGCTGATTCTTTTGATCCTAGACCCCTTAAGAGAAGCAGTTGTAATAACTTACTTGGGTTTCCAGAGAGTGGGCTGGTGGGTAATTCCATGGAAGGCAGATATGCTTTGTACCCTCCCGCCTTCACTTCCGAGTACTCTGCTCTTCTCAGTTTCCCAGGACCTCCAGTGAGCTCGGGTTTGCCGTCCTGCCCAGGAAGGGTAGGACTGGGAGCCTCAGTATGCTGCACTTCACGTGTACGCACTTGTTGAGAGGTACAAAGGAATGGAAGGTTGGCATGTTCTGTAACTAATGAATAATTCATGATGGCTTCTTGTGCCATAAAATTTCTCTTGTAAGTAAACATTATTTTGAAAGACAGTGCTGACTGAAAAATCTGGAAATGTGGTTTCCTATTTTTATTGATCTGCCATAGACGTTTACTGGGAAGACAAAAGTTGACAAACATCAGAATAATTAAATCTAAAGCTGACGGTGGTCCTGTGTGGGAGTAAGCCAAGAACTCTGCCCCAACTTTATCCTCCCGTTTCTTCTGGAGTGTAACATAACCTGATGTTTACTAAAGGCCTCTAGATCCTTTGACACTCTCTGGCCTCTCCTCGAAGATAGAGTCTGAATTTTAGTGATAACACTGTGCATATTAGTCAATATTAATGTATTACTGGTATTTAGAGTTGGAAATTATGATTTGATGGCTTTTTCAAACTGAAAGGAGGTCTTAGAGATAAAATTAAAATATCTCAAAATGTCTATATGTCTCTATTGAATATAATTTGAATCCCTCTGTTTTGCTTGCACTGTACAAAGAGTGGATTTTAGTTTTGGTTTCCAGGAAAGATAGTGCAGGTTTTCGAAAATCTTACATAAGGGAAAGATTATAAGTGAACAGAGTAAGTGCTATACCTGATTATATTTCTCATAGTCAAACTGGAAAGAAAGAAATTCTTTTGAGAGAATTTCATTTCTTTTTTCCATTTTTTACTACTCTCCTCCCTGCCACTCCATGGTGTATTTTTAAGGTATGTAGAGTGTTTCCACCTGCTGCCAGCTGGAATCTACAAAAAGTGTATCCTGAGAACACTCGACAGTTGACTTGCCTCTCAGTCATAATTAAATTGGAAGTCGGCAAATGATGCTGAGACTTAAAAACAGGTGCACCTTATGTTTGCAACATAAGGGGTTTACCCTGCATCGTTTTAAAAGTACTCTCCATGGGGAATATTGACGATATATTTTAATTGCCTTTTTTAAAAAATAGAAGGATATTTTGAAAGGATATATAATGAACAGGTTTGACCGTGCTTAAATTTTGTCTCTTGTTCTTTTAGCTTGGTCCCTGATGTTTTAGAGCAGCAAAAAGCTTTCACCGGCTCATCCATCCCTCTTTTAATAGGAGTACATTATCCTATCCTTTCTCTCCTGGCACACCTTGAAAGCATTAGCTAGTTAGATGACTGTTGACATAAGACTTTGATACAGCAATTTACTACCTTCTGCTCTAAAGGATGTGCTTAGAGCTAGTGTTTGCATACAATTAATAGTAATTTAGGCATATGAGATACACAGCTCTCTCTTTTATATTAAAATCTGACTGCTGACATATACTTCTCCATAATTAACATACTTTAAAGGTTGGGATGATAGGATATTAATTCAGAATACTGAGGTTTAACAAGACTTATCTCTGATGCCATTCATTTCCAAAAAGGGGAAAAAATGCAACATGCTGATTAGCACTCCTTTTAGGTTTCGTATGAGAGAATGGAATGCTGGACAGGTTTTTCTGCTTTACGAGGCAGTCACAGCTGCCATTGCAAGTGAGCTCTGCCAAGGTCGGTGACCTGTGGGTCAGTTAGAGCATGGCATTGCCAGGGACGTGCCTGAGCAGTGGAAGCAGGCTGCAGGAGCACTGAGCATTGGGTCTTTACAGAATAGTTAGCAGTAGAACGGGCCTCGAGAGCTCCTGTCTGAGCCTCCCCTCCCCCACAGTTCATGTCCGCAGGCTCTGCAGACTTGTGACCACACCACTGTGCCTTGAAGATCTTCATCTTAACAGAATAGAAACTCCCCGGGCCTGGTATTACTCTTCTTTATGACACTTTGCATGGGAACCATACCTCCTGCTGTCGTATGAATTGAAGTGGTACAGAGAGTTAGAAGGTGAAGAGAGGGGATACACAGTGCTCTTGGGAAAAGGTCAGCATGTTAGTGGAGTGGTATTATTTTGTGGGCAGCACATCTCTGTTGATGATTTTAAATGGTGTAAATGGTCTGTTCTCATTTTTCATATATAAGGTGATGCTGGCTATGTGTACACTCAGATACACAGATTCATGAATTGAATCAGCCATTTTACTTTTGAGGCTTTTGGCGTCACCCATGTCTTTATTTATTTTTTTAAGTTTAAAGGCGCTCTGACTGTAATAGTCTGTCTCTAATTGGTAGTTTCATCAGGGAGGGTCTGCCGATGTGTCATTGAGCCCTTCCTGGACTTGGCATTCGAGCAGCTCATAAACGTTTCTGTTTGTTATGGTTAATTTAGTAAGCATCTTTCAGCAGGTGGCAGACACTGTACTAGACACTGTTCAGAATAAATCTCTGTCATTTAGAATCTATAATCTTGGAAGGACCACTGGCATGTATGTGCCAAAGATGTGCTGGGCAACTAACCAAAGTGAGACATTAGTAAGGACCTGGGAAGGTGAAGAATGCAAGTACTGGAATATAAGATGTAAGAGGATTTAGTCACCTAAAGAGGTTAGGATGCTGGCTAGAGAAGGCCTGGGGCTCCTTGGGATATAGATTACCCCACTGGTTTCAAGGGGCACAATCTGACCTCAGGTTACTTCTTACTATGGCTCCAGCATGGGGAAAGGATGTCTCTGGTCCTCGGGAACCATCTCTGCTGCCTCCTCACTGCCAGAGCCACAAGAGATTAGAGATTTATGTTCCTCTTGCTAAAATGACTATTCTTTGGTGAATTTGTTATTTTTTCTTATATAAATATATGACTTTGGACTTGCAGAAGAAACATGCTCTGTTAAGCTCTTGAGCTGTAGACGCAGAGAGACCTGGTTCACATCGCAGCTTTGATACCTCCTAGCCATGTAACCCAGGGCAAGTATCAAATTCTCCAACCCTCAGTTTCCACATCTATAAAATGGAGCTAATAGTTCTACCTGCTTTATAAGATTGTGAGAATTAAATGAGGATGTCTATAAAACCCGTGGCACGGTGCCTCGCATGTAATAATGAATGGGTTGTATAATTAGCAATTATACTTCTACCTGAGAAATTCAAATGCTTCTGAATCATTTATATTATTGAATAGTGCTTTGGAATCCAAGGCCTTTTTTCTAGTTTGGTTATTTTATTTTATTTTTATGTGCGTGTTTTACTTTAGTTATTTTTAATTGTACAAATCATACAAGAATAAGCTCTCACTGTAAAAATTTCAAAGAGGATTTAAAACGCAAAATCTCCCCTTGGCCAGCATCCAAACCTAGGTGGTAACTACTGTTATCAGTTTCATTTATTCATTTTATTTTCATCAAAGTAATTGCATGTTCCTAGTTTTAAAAGTCAGTGTCTTCTCCCATGAATGTGAAACCAAAGAATAAGAGCCAAAGATTATAAAGTTTTTCTGGCCTGACTTGGTAGGATGATCAAACTGTGGCATTTCTGTTACAGAATGTGGCTTTTCTAAGTGGAACTTTTTACCTTTTTATATTTCATGGTTAAATAATTTTGCAATCTATTAAAGGGTTTAAAATACTTCTAATTTTACCTGTTTGGGGGAGATAATTAATAGTACCCAGGAGAGGTCTGTTAAGCCTCTAGAACACCAGTCAGCAAACTTTTTCTGTAACGATCCAGATAGTAAAATTTCAGGTGTTACAGGATATAGTCGGCTCTCTGTATCTGCACATGTGGAACCCATGGATACGAAGGGCCAACTAAGGAGCTTGAGCATCCGTGGATTTTGGTATCTGCGGGGCGTCCTGGAACCAATCCCCCACGGATACTGAGGGACGACTGAATATGATCTGTCACTGCTGCTACTGCTTCTTTCTTTCCCTCTTCCTTTCTCTCTCTTTCTCAGTCCTTTAAAAACGAAAATAGACATTCTTAACTTGGAGTCAGAATCGGTCTGGTTTGAGGGCATTGGAAAGTTACGTGGCAAAGGACTTGGATACAAGGAGGAATGATAGATTATGACCACTGATCCAAACTACTGTGCCTTCTATGCAGTAGCAGTAGTGTTAGTGTGAAAGAACACATATTGAGATTCACTG